AGTCGAGGTTATTGGTCGGCTTTCAGGCGGCGTGGCTTGCACTGTTCACAGCGTTTCAATGTTTGTCGTTGGTAGGCAGACAGCAGGCGGCCTGTACCGGGGCACCCCTCGGTTCCGACGAGACTGCTGATGGCCCTCCTTAGTGGAGGTCTCCGTCGTCGTGCAACACGGTTGTGCGTGCGTGCACCTCTCCCTCCGTGACACTTTCCCCTGCCCTGCCGTGGTTGCAATGTTATCTGTCGCTTGTCTCTTGTGTAATTCTGGCGGACACGTGAAGTCGATCCTTGTGGCCATCGGGACCAACAATCTCGGGGTCGGCATGGATGCGCAAGACACCGTCGGAGGAGTCCAGGCCGTCGTCCAGGTAAAGACAAGGGAAAACACAAATTGCTGCCAGCGGAGCACATGCGCACTCATACCTGTACCCCATGTGTGTAGGTGACACGCAGAGAGCTTCACATCACGGGCATGTGCCAGGGGTCAAGAGGCCGCCCACGCCTTTTCGGCGAGGGTTGAGCGTTAGTCGCGTCTGAATTCGCACGCGTCGCCGATGCGAATCTGTCTTTGCAAGATTCGTCTGACTTTTTTTGCGTTTTTTTGCACCGGTTTGGACAAGCTTCGCGCGAACGACCAGAGGAGGCTGTACGCTACGCTCTCTGTGTGTGCTTACCCGTGAGAGTTGAACCTGTTCCGTGGACGGCACAGTCGATCCATTCGTCGCCGCCGACAGTCACCCTTTTCGACGTTCCTCTTCACGTCGCGCGATGGCTATATCTTTCCCTACACACCGTGTCTGCGTCAGTTGGACCGTGTCGGTCTTTGATGTGAAGACAATGTGAAGACAACAACAGCAACGACGAACAGCACCACCCCCAAGTTTGATGGTGAAACGCGTGAAAAACCGTATGTGACCGGATTGCTGCCTCTCGCACTCTCCTCAGTACTTGCGAGAGCAAAGACCCGACGCGATGGTGTCCGTGATGGCCCTGTTCCCGAGAGCTGACCCGAAGCACGAGAAGAGTACAACTCCGTGGCCGGTGATCGATGAGGTACGGCCCATCCTCCTACCCCTTTTTAACTGGACATCGGCAGTGGGGAGCTATGGTATCATCGTTGACACCTTCCCACAGTCTATTTAGCCTTTCTTCCTCCTGGCCGATTGAGGCTAACCGACCAACGGTGCTTTGAGCAACAGGAGTGGCACTCCCTGTGGACCAACCCCGTGTATTTGCACTCACACTGGAAAAGCGGTTGCTCAGAGGATTCGTGGCTGGTCGGGGTATGCATCTATTGTCGGGTAGATAAAAAGCGAAGCCAAGAATGCCGGGTGAGCCTGCATGTTGTGCTCAAGGAGGAGGATCCGGGGGAGCAGCTGGCGGCTTTCGCTGTACAAGTAACCCCTCTTGGCAACGTGGCTTAGCTTAGCCACCACACCGACGACCACGCAGATGTTGTCGTGCGGTCGCAATTCGTCACAACAATAGCCCGAACCGTTCATGCGCGTCCGAGTAGACGAACGGATGAATCGCCACGACTGAGGTCACAGCCACTAGATCCATCTTGCCGCCTCCAGCCTCAAGAGCGAAACTGTCGTCCGTCCTGCGTGCGTTCGAGCCGTAGGGCTCTATTCGCGAGCAGTGAAGCAGGGTGTCTAACCCCAGGTTCTTTTTCGATATTTATGTGCTTTGCTTCTGACGCGAACGAACGCCGCTTGTAAAGGTTAATGGGATGCTGGAGCGCATGCTGAGGCTGAAGTTCGGCACGAACAAGGTTCTCTTCGTGAACTGCAGTGACAGGTAAAACATGGTATACATCTACTTGTACACCTGCTGGTGCGTTGCCTGCGCCCCTTCCCCCCTTGCAAGTACTGGTGCTGGTCGTTTTGTATTGGCGCCTTCTGCGGCTGAGTGGCTGTCTAGCCTGGCGGTCGGCGCGGCAGTTGCTGCGGTGTCCCAGGCACTGCTGTACCCCACAAATCTGATAAGCGACGAATGTCGCCTTTCGCCAGAGTAGAGGCGTAAAGGGCAACCCGGGATCGATGGGGATTGCTCTCGGGTTTGAGCGGTTCCGTCCACCGTACGGCCGAGCCCTGTACCGGCGGTGACTCGACTTGTGATGGGCGGCAGGTACCATTTTCCATTCCACGATTCGCACCACAACCCCGCCCTCGGCAATCCCGCTGTCGCGGTACACCGCTCCACGAACGAACGAACGAACCGTGTGTGTGGCCGGACCGAACTGTAGGTTTGTGGTGGAAGACGACTCCGGTCGCGAGGTGCTCAACAAGGAGTTCATCATGCCGGACAACCTCCACCTCACCAGCGACGGCCTGGAGGCTTGGGCCGAGTGCGCGGAAGCCGCGGTTCACTCTGGGCTACGGGACAACTCGTAGCACGTAGCCAGTAGTTTATCCGTTTGTATGTTGTGTTGTATACGATGTGTGTACAAGTTGTGTGGTTGCGTGCTCGCGTATGAATAGTCGACTGACCGGCGCCTTTTTACGGTCGTATTTTTTTCTAGAGGTGAGGCCACTAGCTATCCAACCAAGGAGCTACTCCTGCCGGAACGAGGTAGCTTTTGTCTCTCTCCTGCCTCAAGATGGGGGGCAACAGGTGTGCTAATGACGGCAGGCCGATTTCTCCGTAGAGTGTCGTGCGCTCTGGTCTGATTTCACTGTTAATTTGTGACTGCCGGTTGAGCTTCTGATGCTTTCACGTATTGTGTTGGTGTGAACTACGAGCCCGATTGAGCTGCTGTAAAAAGATTTCAATGCCGATCAAGGGTTCCCTGTGCATATCTGTGTTATAATTTTTTCTTGCGACAGACTTGTATCCGTGTTTGTATTTTTTTTTTTTACCATCATTGGACTCTTTCGTCTGCTCCTCTGGCCCCTATCCTCCACTTCTCCTAGCTAGACGACCCAAACGGGGTCACTGGACCCCCTCCTGCGGTTCCTGCCTGAGGTATTTTTTTTTCTCCTTTCTAGCATATGACGATGGATAGCCCCCCCCCCCCCTCTCAAGCTGGTGACGATGAATAGCACCCCCCCTTCTCTAGCTGACGATGGATACCACCCCCCCCTCACGGCTTACGATGGATACCACCCCCCTCTCTAGCTGGTGATGATGGACCGCCCCCCTTCTTCTGTAGGAGAGTAGATCAAACTGTCTGGTAAACGAGCCAGCCAATGAACAGACAGACGCACGAGCCTACTGCAGGTACTTTTGTGCAACCACCACAAAATACTATGCCACCTCCAACTCTAGTATTATGCCCCATGGTGGGCCATGATGGACATGGCACCCATGAGGTCTCACACGTTACCTTTTATGTTCACAATTATTTTATTTATTTTCTAAATGATAACTCCAATGTTTTTTTTCTTAGGCACGCATATATATTCGGTGCTGCAGGGATTTTAGGTGTACCCCTTCGAGCTCTTGTATACCTTGTTCTTGTTACGTGTGTGTGCGTGTTCTTTAGCTCCTCAGATGGCTCTAGCACTTTCGTGACCACGGGCTGAGAGCCTTTGCTAGATTTTGGCATTTAGCAACTGGCATACTGTTTAATGTGAAGTCAAACAACAACAGTGTCCCTCATGGATGGGCCTCATGGGGTACCATGGCAACACTATTCACAACTCCCATGAGATCGCCCATGGCATGCCATGGCATGACATGGAAATGATCTCGTGGTCCCCCATGACCTATCTCATGGGACGACACGAGACACCATGAGGTTGTTCTTATGGGCCCCATGGGACCTCATGGATCCTCATAGTGCCCCATGGGGGCCCATGAGACACCCTTTTTTCGGGGGGTTTTTGTGACCCAATAATGTTTTGGTCGTCTGCAGAAATTGGTGAAAATCGCCGAGCGTCCCCAAATATCGGTGAGGCACCTGCCGTTTCCGGTGATCGCCCACGTTTCTCTGGGTGATTCAAATTCCTCACTTTTTTCGGTGAAGTTTTCAAAATTCGGTGATTTTCGGTGATTACCTACCGAGCACAGGCCTAGAGAACGTTCCAGGTCGCCTTTCTTCGTAATTCGGAAAGCACTCCGGAATTTTCTTATGGAAAGCAAGCTGTTTCACTGTTTCACAGCGCCGGGTCGATGTCGAGATGACGTCATATATTGTCAATTCCTCAAGGGCAGACCCTCCGCACGGACGACGCTGACCCTCCCACCTCAGCTCACTCCCTCCTGCCTCTGCTCTCCTCCTCTTCTCACCTGACGCTCATCACACGGACCGAGCAGGGCGACGCATCCAAGTCTGGGAACGGCGCTACCTCTCTGCACACCAGAAGCACACGGAGCGGTAGCAGCAAAAGGTTTCTTCGCACGAGGTATTTACCAACAACTTCAAAATTGGCTGAAAGGCTACACCGGGTAGCGGGGCCCTTGTCCTCGTTGTGGGGCAACACTAAAATGTTTACGCGAAAGCGTCAAAAGGGGCATGTTTGATATCATCACGCATGGACATACATGCATACGTTTTGGTGTGCGCCGGTGTGCACAATGATGACCGAGGGAATTTATGCCACTCTTCGCCTGCTCTTCGCTCAGTTCGACATCCCGATGACATTTAAAATTTCGTGTCACGGTTAACCACTCAAGATCTTCAACCAGATTTTGACGGTCCCAGTTATTGAAGCTGAAATCGCTGACTGGTATGCAATAACAGTTCTTCATTTGTGTTCTCCCAGCTTGCGAGCATTTCAAAGCGCCACATTTCCAGCGGGCCGCTCTCCGTTCAAAGATCGGTTTTCTCGAGCCCTGACAGACCACATCAGATTTCACTTCGATTTTTCTCGATCAAGTACACGCGCGCTCCACAGCCCACGTGACAAGTACGACCGCACACGGTTTCTCTCCCTATATACATGTTGCCTGTGTCTCTCTCTGTCTCAATGTCTGTCTGTCTCTCTCTGTTCTTTGTCTCGATTTCCACCGCTCTGTGCTTATTACATGTATACAGAGACAGGCCAAATATTTGTTGCTTATTTTCCGAATCCCGTCACTCATTTTTCTAATGTTCCGAATCCAGTCAGTCATTTTTCCTGAACTTCCTTTCGCGTTCAGTCCGCGGCTTGACACAAGGCATGTGTCGTCAGCGAGAGGTTTGTCAGCTTTCCCTTCTTCGCTTCTCCGTCTGTCTGGAGCTGATTCTCCTCTGCACGCCGACCAGCTTTCCTTCTGTCTGCTCTCGGTTCGTTCTCTGTGTCTCGCATCCAATAAAGGAACGCTTTTTGTTACGCCTTTTTCCGCTGGTTGTCCGCCTGCAATTAATTCCCCGATTTACCGACCTACCGATTTCCCGTGTTTGGCAGCTTGCACAATCTCCTTTCTCCCCTCGCACGGAGCACCGGCGCTCGCACGTCGCGCTCTCCCACTCCCCCACACCTCTCACTTCGACCGCGGTAGGTACCCATAAAACCCTACCAGCATCCTCCACCTTACCTACCGCTGTGTGCAACCTTCATGTCGTCCCGCAACATCTATAAATCTTTTCCTACTCGAAGCACTCTGTTCTTTCGGGCTTTCCCCGGCAAGTCTTTTTCACTTCAACTTCTTCGTGTTCCGTTACAGGGCGTACCGTAATTGTGCGTGTTTCGCACCGCGGTGCGATCTTCTAGCGTATTTCTCCACAATCAGGGAGGTATCACTATTATATAAAAGGCCCGTTCTTAACGGCCAAAATAACACGGAATATTCCACGGAAGCGTGTTTTCTTGAACATGTATGGATGCGTTTTTCCCCGAAAACGTGAAAAGAAGGAGCCGTGATTTCTTGGGGCTTGCTACTTTCACGGATCCGTGTTTTGGACAGAAGCATCGGACAAGCGCACCGCGGGCGCTGTAACATCACTGAGAACGCTAGAAAGACCTGCCAGACTCACGTCCAGGTCTGTTGTGGAGATGGACAAGCGGCAGAAGAAGCGGCGTTCAGTCCGTTCTTGGTCCAAAACTAGACATTGCGTGGTGCTCTTGTCTTCAACTGCTGCTGTTGGTGCCGGGGAATTTTTTTCAATCACACATAGCAAACACGGAAACAGTAGAACGAGTACAGCAGCAGCACCAGGACCTCCAACGCGCTGATTCCTTCGGTTCGGCTGTGTATATGATACCATCTCCCGGCGCCGTGCTGCTTCGTGGGTATTGGGTGCNGAAGCGGCGTTCAGTCCGTTCTTGGTCCAAAACTAGACGTTGCGTGGTGCTCTTGTCTTCAACTGCTGCTGTTGGTGCCGGGGAATTTTTTTCAATCACACATAGCAAACACGGAAACAGTAGAACGAGTACAGCAGCAGCACCAGGACCTCCAACGCGCTGATTCCTTCGGTTCGGCTGTGTATATGATACCATCTCCCGGCGCCGTGCTGCTTCGTGGGTATTGGGTGCTTGGGTGCTGCTCAATAAGATGTGTGAGAGACGTGTGCCACCTCACCAAAATGCCGTTGGAAAAAATGCGGCGAGATGGTCTGTTTTTGGTCGGACACATCAACATCAATCCACGGCACCACGCAGCAGTAGAGCAACAGGGCCTCCGACACGCTAATTCTTTCGGATTGGCCATCTATATGATGCTGGCCGTCAGCGCGGCTGCCGCCCTATGATTATTGAGCTCGTCTACCTTTGGGCAGGTGGTGGTCAAAGATGGGAGTCGCAACCGTGAAAAATGAGCTGGCAAACTGAAGAAATCGCAAGCAACACCCAGGTTGCGACACTCTGCCCTGCGCCTGTTGTTGCTGAAAATTGAAAACAGCAGGCCGGGTGGACGGGATCTTTCTAAGTGTGTTGTCCTCTGTGTCGGGTGCTGCTCGTTGCGCTTTTACCGCTGCTCTATGGTGAGCAATACCATGTCAACCTGTTGTGGGCCGAGCAAAGCGTGTATTCAGGGAGGGAAACGTATTTTTTGCGATGACATCACGAATAGAACAAGCGAAAAAAGTCGGGGTTTCTTTTCACCGTTCCGTGTTTTGACTCCGTGGAACTTGGGTTCTGATAAGAACGGGCCTTTTTATACTGCCGAAAAGGGTGGTTGTGAATCATCTCGTCGAGTGAGCATGTCGTTCGTTTTGACAGGCTTCTTCACAAGCAGCATCGCATCAACAACAACGCAGATCGCGCACAGCAGAGCAGTTTTGCGGGATACTTATTTGAACGGATCTTCAAAGACTACACTGTATAGTGTGCATATCCGCTCCCGGCGCAAGTTATATACAGGCCAGTACATATAATTCCATATCGCGGCGGAGGAACTCATCATCATCATCAGACACTACATGCTTGCCTTCTGCCACATAGCATCCATACTCCAGTACCGCCACACACAACAAACGATCGGCACACACTCACCACTTAGACAATGGATGGGAGTGCGCGCGCTTTCCCGATACATGTACACGCGCAGGCCGCACCACAACATGCTTGACATGCAGCTAGCTGTGCTTTGTATACGCAGAGAGCAGCACACAGCAGGAGGTGCAGTAGTTCTCGCTTTCTGTCTCTCTCTCTGGTCTCGGTCTCTCTCTCTCCCTCTCTCGCCGGCTGTCTGCCTCTATTTATCTCTCTTCCGCGGGGGATCTTTCGATTCTTCTTTGTACACAGACAGCTAGCTTTCTGTGCTCTCTTCCTCGTGCCCCGCGCAACCACTCTGCGCACACACTCTACGCAAACGCTACGCCGCCGTAGCTTCTTCGCGTTCCGTTGGTGGGGTGTATACACGGCGACACGGTGTTACAAACGGTTCTTTCCAAAAAGAGTAGAACTCAGCGAACACAGCGAGCTGCTTTCTCGATACATGTACACGCGCGCGCTGCACGACACATACATACATACATGCATGCATGCATACATACATACATGTCGCAAACTGCTGTGCGTTGTTTGCAAGCACATCACACACCAATTTTTTTTTGTCTTTCGGCTGTCTGTATGCATACTACTGTAGTTTGGACTCTTTCTATGCAAGACACTCTGTACCGCAGCCGCCGTGAAGAAAACAAAAGGTGCACTTCTTGAACCGCTCTCTCTCTCAGCTGAATAACACGCTGTGCTTTCCGACAGTCTGTCAGAGCAGTCCACAACAGTGCCTATGTACAAGGTCAGGCGACTACGGCTCTCGCTTTCCTCTGTCTGTCTGTCTGTCTGTCTGTCTACTGTCTGTCTGTCTACTGTCTGTCTGTCTGTGTACTGTCTGTCTGTCTCCCTCTCCATGCCTCCCTCTCTCTCTCTCTCTCTCTCTCTCTCTCAGCTCATACGCACTTTTGCGAAGGTGTACCGATTCTGGTAAAAGTCAATCGACGGATACCCTGGGAATCGGGGCCTCCTTAACACTCTCCACCCACAGAATTTACCCTCAACTGGGAACCTCATGTGGCCAGGATGGGTAATTCGATGGAAGTGTCACAAGGTTCTGTGCAGGATACGATTCCAGGAGGTGTTCTCAGGACTGACACGCATTTATTTGTGTCCTTGGGAAAATGTCCAAGCCAGGAGAAAAAAGTGCACCCAAGGAGAGTCGAACCAGTATCCTGCTGACGCCACACGCTAAGGTGTACCGATTCTAGTAAAATTCAATCGACGGATACCCTCGGAATCGGGGCCTTTTTTCACTCCGGCGCACGCCGCACGTCCGCACTCCGCACTCCTCCGAAATTTTGGAATTTTACTTCTTTGTGTGAGTTTCTTTTTTAACGCCGTGTGGTGGGTGAAATAATAAAAAAGTGTGCGGTGCCATGCATTCCTTCGAAAGGTATGTTTTTGTACCTGTGGAGATGTAGTTGTTGTTGTTGTTGTCTTCACATTAAAAACCATCCCGGTCTCTCTATCCAGTACCTCCTTCTGTCTCAATCTCTCCGTACTAATCCATCACTTGACTCGGCCAATTTCCGTGGTCACAGGCTAACGTACCTAGAAAAGGTATACCAAAATAAAACGGACCCCAAGGGTCAGCAGAGCGATAAAATACAAGAAAACAAAATATAATCAGAAACAAATAAAATAAAAATAAAATAAATAATTAGACTAGTGGAACGGCCGCACCACCAGCCTGGGGGGGTAGCCTCCCACTACATGGAGGCAGGTCGACGGCCAAAGGAAGGGGCGGGGGTACGTGCCAGTAAAAAACAAAACAAAAGACAAAATAAAACAGAATAAAGCAAAGACGAGGACACAAACAAACTCGCACAGAGACAGGGATATCCCTAGAGACAGTCTGAACGCGACAGCAAACGGGGGAGAGGGCAACAGAAAAATTAGTCGTTGAAATTCGACCGCAACATGTCACGTCACGCGGTCGGTCTCTTCTCGCTTGCTTTCTTCCCGCCGCGCCGTTTCCTTCCGCCCCCCTACCGCCCCGTTGATTGGTGCCGTATCTAGACTATTTTTGGGCCCGCTGTCTCCTCGTTTGATGGCTCGTTGTCGGCTGGCCTCCTCCTTGCCCTTGTGCCAAGAGGCCATGAACCTCTCAGCTCCCTGTAGCACCCCCGCGTGCCACGGTACCCCCCCCTCCACCTTCGCCGCCTCACTCCAGACTAACTTCGGGACTCCGAAGACGCTCGGCTTGTCGGTCGTGGAGCCGTACCTGGCTTCGAACATCTTCATGTCGTCCTTCAGGCATGTCAGCCAGTTCTGCTCCGGGTTTCCCCGGCCCGGGTCCTCCCCTCCCACCAACTCGCCGAACATCAGCCGTTTCGGAAGCCGCCCGTCCGGCTGTCTTGCCACGGCCCCCGCAAAGAGCAGGCGCCGTTGACGGACAGTGGCCTCCACGCTCTGGCAGCCGACCCTCTTTAGCGCCTGGGCGTATGACAGCTGCCGGTAGGTGCCTCGTTTGCGCCGGTAGCCGATGACTCGCAGGAGTAGCCGGTGGTGTGTCGTCTGCAGCATTCCGTAGTGGTTGCGGCGTGGGGACCATGTCATGCAGCCGTATAGCAGTGCCTCCACTGCCTCCGCCTGGAGCAGGCGGGCTTTGAGGCGAAACGGTGCTCCCGGTCGGTCGAAGAGCTCCGTGGCGTATCGCTTAATGCACGCCCACGCTGCTTTGCTCCTGTGGTTGATCTCTCGGGTAGTAGGTAGGTTTAAAGGAGTAGAAGCCGTGGGCGGTAGCTTGCTCCTAGAGATATATGAAGATAGGATCTGTCGTTGACACGCTTGTCCACGACCACGTTGAGATGGGAAGGTTGCTTGTTATTGCTGAGAGACGATCAGCAAAGGTCTGAGGCTGTGGGGCAGAGTGCCCTCAACCTAGGGGGGCACGCAGATAGCTAAGTCCCGATGGGGTACGTCCTATGAGGGTATACCTTCTGACGTCCCCCATCGTAATGTAGACCGACAGTGTACTCTATCTGTGCCGTACAGCAACACTCCTTAACATAGGTGTGTGTGGTCTTTCAAGTGGCACAGTCTTTCAAGTGGCACGAAATGGGCGTTGTCTCCGAGTATTCATCATTTTCCATTTTATTCCTCTTACAGTTAACATGCATGCATTTCACGTAGATGATACGTACACACGCACGAGCGAGCAAGTTTGTTTTCTCCAAGCTTTGTCATCTATCTGAAATACCTATACACAGCAGCAGCAGTACGCCCCCACTCAACGCTCGCCGCCTGCCGACCAACATCCCGTTTCAGTGTTCTTTGTATATCATGTCGGTGAACACAACGACACGCAACATACGCTACATACACCAAGTCGTCAGCAATGCAACGCAACTTTCGTCTTGCGGTACGCTTCTCTCAGCGTGGCGGCGTAAGCCGCCAAAGAGCCTTGTAGTCTAATGAGTGTTTTCAGCTTCAATAAAAGTAAGTCGTGGGGTCCGGCTTCCCCTGGCACTACGCTTCCGAGGAGGATGGCGCTCCCCTAGCCAGCCGCTACTACAGTGCCGGCCCTTACGAATTTGATGCTCAATAAATCCAAAACTTCAGAATTTACCGAAAAGAACACGTGCTCAGCTGCACGCCCTGTTAGGAACAAGAACACACACCTGAGGTGCAAAACTGCTGCTACAAATAAGAACGACAGCAATGCAGCGGCTGCCAGACAAGAATACTCGCAGGGGGAGGGAGGTAAGAGGGGGGAGTGATCCGAGTACAGAGTATTGGATTTGGGAGGGGTACATACCCCACATATCAACATTTATTTGTATTTTTTTAGAGGGGGAGGGTGGGCTTTGTACGCACGCGTCGTGCCCCTGGGTGCCCCCGAGAAAAGCGTGCGTGCCAGGCAACGTGCAGCGTGCCACGAGCTGCCTGCCGTGCAGGGGGATCATGTCCCAATGAAATCCCTTATCCCATGGGATATTGAAAGAGCTTGGCAAACTTGCAGAGTTGAAACAAAGGGGTCTGATTCTTGACCGTCACTTCGAGACAATCAAAGCACACGTGAAGGCGGGCAACTCCGTTGCGAAGGAGCGATGGGACGCCATCGAGAGCGCGTGGGGGCTGAAGCAGAACGGTGTCTTCGACGAAGAAGAGTGGGTCACGCAGATTGACGGCGAAACGCAGGGTATTACCAGCAGCACCCGCCTGTCCTCTTCATCCCAACAAGATGCCGGCAGCGCGCGAGGTGCTACACCGCCGTCTCAGCACCCACCTGCTGCTGCAGGTACCGCGAGGAGATCTGGAAGGCCGTGGATCGCGGGAAGCCAGCAAGGGAGAGAGCTGGCAAACGCACTAAAGGCGGCAACATCTGCAACGCGTTCGCGATTGGCAGCCGAGGACCGGTGNTACACCGCCGTCTCAGCACCCACCTGCTGCTGCAGGTACCGCGAGGAGATCTGGAAGGCCGTGGATCGCGGGAAGCAAGCTAGGGAGAGAGCTGCCAAAGGCACTAAAGGCGGCAACATCTGCAACGCGTTCGCGATTGGCAGCCGAGGACCGGTGAGCACACAGTTACTTTTCGCTACCGGTGTAGTCTACATACACAATTTTCGTTTTTCAAGAACAACTCCCGTGAAAACGATGACATGATAAGGGCCATTTTTTTTCAGTAGCGGCGCGAAATAAAAAAAAAAAAGGAGAAAGTTCGTAGTTTTGAGGCTGGCCTCTGCTGGCAACGACTGCGTTTCGCGCGCCGTTTCTTGCTGTAGGTGCCCAAGCAAGTGGAGGAGTGTCGAGTTCTCGTCAACTGCGTCTGCTGGCACGAGCCAACTCCGGTGCAAATACTCCGGAAAGTTGTGCCTTTTTTTAGATTCGTGGAATGCTGCTGCTTTGTAGACATGATAAGATAAAAATTTCGTCCATCCCCCTTTTTTTCAAGCAAGACCTGAACATTAAAAGAAAATAGTGTAGACAGATATTCTAGTTGGGATGCCGGCGACTTTGTTTTGGCGTCACAACAGTGCACGTTCTCTGCTTGATACTTAGTGTGAATAGTCACGAGAACGAAACAGACAGCTTTCGGCTCTCCACGGAGGTTTGAGGTCGAAAGCGCCACACTCCATAGCGAACGATACATGACATGACTCGTTGAATCACCCCCCCGGCAACTCTGCCCTTCTTCCACCTTGCCATGCAGATTGAGCGGACTCGCGGTGGAGTGAAAGAGNGTCACAACAGTGCACGTTCTCTGCTTGATACTTAGTGTGAATAGTCACGAGAACGAAACAGACAGCTTTCGGCTCTCCACGGAGGTTTGAGGTCGAAAGCGCCACACTCCATAGCGAACGATACATGACATGACTCGTTGAATCACCCCCCCGGCAACTCTGCCCTTCTTCCACCTTGCCATGCAGATTGAGCGGACTCGCGGTGGAGTGAAAGAGCTCAACGGCGTGCGGCTGCGGCGCATGTTACGGAAGGATGTCGGAGGGTGTGTCCTGCCGTGGGAAACAGCTGGGCCTGGGTGTGGTTGGCACGTGAAGTTCGATCATGCGACGGGGACGGCTTCGTTTATCCTCCATCTCCCTTCGCTAACGATGAAGACAGTAGCGACGACGAACAAGGTTCGGAGAACGGCAACGATGAGCCTGAGGGGCGGGCGGAGGAGGGCGATGGAGGACGTGAGACGCTCATGGAGGGCGTTCACTCCAGCGATGAAGACGACGGCGGTAAGTTTGTTTTGCACAAAACCAACTCTTCATCCTCTTTTTGTTGATGACGATGTCCTTCATGTTGACGTTAGCTTGTTTCCGCGCACGGCTGCACTCAAATTATGATAAGTTCAGGTTGAGTTTGGCGACGTGACACCCTAACTTCTTGTGTTTCCCGTTGCCTCGTTCGCAGACATCTCTCAACCCCAGACCGACGAGCTAACTCTTCTGGACGACGACGACAGCATGGACCCACAAGACCCGGAGGATGAGATACAGGGAATGGAGATCCCGGCAGGCTTTCGTATTCCAGAAGCTAAACCCGTTGCTCTTGACAGATTGCTTTTGCGGCGTGGAGTGCTCGTTAGGCTGGGCATGGGGTGGTTTGGACGGCTGATCACTCAACAATCTCAGAAGGACACTCGCCACCTGTACGACTACTGTGTGCAGCTGGAGCTAGACCAGAGTACGCGCAAGATGAAGTTGCCCTTAGACAAGTACAGCGGAGATTCGGATGCGGCTGTAGGCGCCTGGGTTTTGCTTGAGAGCATTAGTAGATCAGGAAGGGTACGCAGGACCAACGTCACCCTTGTGGACCAAGAAGGTTGACAGTTGCTGCTCCATGCCTTGGTATTTTCTTGTATCGACAGCAGTACTAGTGTTGCTCATGGTTGACAGCCGACAATATAGCAAATGATGTTAAAATACTGTAAGAACAAGAACGCCCCTTTCTGGAGAAGAATGGACGACGAAATGAGAACTTGGCAAATAAGAACTGGTGCTCGGGTTGGGGCAGCCAATGAGAACTGCGCCTCGCCCAATACAGGAGGTTCTTAAGTGCGGGCCTACGCGGCTACCCGTCGACCGTCGACACAAGTTGACAAGTTGTTATATATGCAACTGCTGCTGCTGTGCACGTTGACAAGTTGACTTGATGATGATGTGCAACTACCCGACGCTCATACGTGTTTTGTCTGTGTGTAGATAACTGTGCGAGAGAGCCGCAAGCCACCAACTGTCAATTAGTGCAGTTAGGTGATGGAGGAAGGAAGCGCGTACTACCTGGCCTTCGCCCTAATACCTCTTCTCTCCCACAACTCCGTCCCTGCCATTCATTCCCGACTCTTGGAAATTTTTTCACAAATTACTTCCGTCGTATGTATGAATCTGTTTGTTTTCAAGGGTCCCCCGGGCATTTTTTTCGGGCTCTCGGGTCTCTCCGCACTGTTTTCAAGGGTCCCCGGGGCTTTTTTATGCGGCTCTCGGTCTCTCCGCACGTTTTTATTTATTTACAACAGTTTGTTGGGGTCTTATGTCCCCGCCCCACCTGAAATCCAATTTTCCACCTGTATATTGGACGGGTAGAGATGTGCAACTACCGACGCTCGTACGTATGTTGTCTGTGTGCAGATAACGGTGCGAGGGGCAAGCCACCAACTGTCAATTAGTGCAGTTAAGTAGGTGATGGAGGAAAGAAGCGCGTACTACCTGGCCTTCGCCCTAAAACCTCTTCTCTCCCAACTCCGTCCCTGCCATTCATTCCCGACTCTTGGAAATTTTTTCACAAATAATTACTTTCGTCGTATGTATGAATCTGTTTGTTTTCAAGGGTCCCCCGGGCATTTTTTTCGGGCTCTCGGGTCTCTCTGTACTGTTTTCAAAGGGTCCCCGGGGCTTTTTCATGCGGCTCTCAGTCTCTCCGCACGTTTTTATTTATTTATAACAGTTTGTTGGGGTCTTTTTTCCCCCCCCCCAACCGAAAATTCTGAAGCTTTAGCTTCTATTCTCAGGCCAATAATATCCGGGTCTCATTCGACTATCCCACCCCTCCCGACTCGGCCCGAAATGCTGATCTCGAGTTACAACGCAAATCTCGCGGAGTCTCGAGTACGGTTCGGTGAGGAATTGAAGATCATCAACCCTCCCCGAGTTTGAGGAGTTTCCACCTCCTGTGGCCGACGAGCGGCAGCCTTGTCTGTGTTGTCACCCGAGCGGGGCGGTTGAACAGACGAAGAGGGTCGGTCCGGTGCTGCATGACTTTTTTGTTTTTTTGGTTCTTGCTCTACTGAGCCGCACTTCCCGCCGTTGCACCACAGCGGGTATGTCGGAGGTATACTGTCTCATCGCCTGTTGGGATTGAAGATAAACGTTTCCGTAACGTGCAACGATCATCGTTGTTTTCGTTCGTGAGCACGATTAGCACGACGCGTGCATATATAGGTTCGGAATGCACATCTTGCATATTGCTGTGTGTCTTCCACGCGGGCTTCTTTGTGTAGTACATGTAGTAGTTGCTTCGAGTTGAGCAGTGAGTATCCCGACCGCATGTCAACTGCCGCCGCGATCGCTGCCCCTGGTGTACTCTTTGCTGCGAGTTGAGCAGTGAGAATCCGGACCGCATGTCAGCTCCCGCCGCGATCGCTGCCCCTGGTCTTGCTGCATGCAGTACATGGTTCGGTGTGCATCTCACGCTGCAGTAGTACATTGTTAGGTGGTGTGCATCCTCTCCGCTACAACAGGTCTAAGTCGAACATTGACAAGTTGACAGAGAGAGACTGCTGTGCAACTGCCGGCCGGTCCCTTTTCAAGTTGACAAATTGACATGTGCAACTACCCGTCCCTCCGTCTAGCCACCCACTAACTGATGGCGCTTTCCATGTGACTCAGACAGCAGCTAGTGAACCCGCCTCAACCACGGAGAAAGCGCGTACGCCTTCGCATGTAACCCTCCTTTCTCCCCTCTCTCCATCATTCCCCTTCCCTGCTCTTGTAACATTCAAAACAAAAAAATCGCCCGTAGCTGAATGATGTTTGGAGGGTCCGCGAAGCGTGTGTGTGTCTCCGGTTTTTTGCGATTCCCGCCCTTCGTGGCCGCTCCGTGCCGATTTTTCGAGAGTGTATGAGATGGCCTCGAGGAGCAATGCTCACCAACATTAGAAGGAGTTCACGGCGGGCAAAAAACTTCCTCGATGTGTGTGTGTACGTATGCTGATTAGGATTCGCGAACTCTCTCCCATTCGTTGTATTTACTCCCCTTTCCCAAGTATCACGTCTACTGCTGTACATGGTAGCTACTAGGAGCTGCTTTCGTCCCTCTCGGGTCTCTCCGCGTATTTTTTTTGTAACAGTTTGTTGGGGTCCTATGCCCCCCCCCCCCCCCCGCCCCACCGAAAATCAATTTTTACCGGTACACCCGGCCAGAAACAGATTATCTCGAGCTACAGCAGTGCAAATCTCGCGTCTTGAGTATGGTTCGGTGGGGAATCGCAGATCATCACCCCTGGCCGCTTTTGAGGAGCATTCGCCTCCTGTGGCCGACAAATTGGTCTTGTGTGTGTCACCATCCGAACGAGGCGGTTGAACAGACAAAGTGGGTCCGTCCAGAACATCACATCACAGCAGTTTTTCATTTTTTTTTCTTCTAAATATGACACAACGAGTCCATCTCTATCATAGAGAAAAAGTCAGAGACAGATTAACAATGGAATCATAGCGTCAGAGAAAACTACCTGTGCAGAACTGTTTGAGGTGTTTATTGTAGTGCGATTTCTTCCGCGTTTACTTCTTTGTTCGTATTTTGTCGTCGTAAGCGTACAGCGGTAGCATCGTTTCAAATGATTAATTGCGGCCTTCCTTGTCGCCTTGGCTTTCCTGCGTCTCGCAGTCCTACCGTCAGCACTTGCGGCTTGCCGTCACAGCAACAGCATCGAAGCTTCAGACCCGCAACTCCGACGTAACTCGTCGAGGAGTTGCAATCAATTCTGAAGCTTTAGCTTCAGCTTCTCAGACCAATATCCGGGTTTCATTCGAGTACCCCACCCCTTGCCCGACCCGGCCCGAAATGCTGATCTCGAGCTATCATGCAAATCTCGCGGAGTGTCGAGTATGGTTCGGTGGGGAATCGCAAATCATCAACCCTCCCCAAGTTTGACGAGCTTCCGCCAACTGTGGCCGACAAGAGTCGGCCTTGTCTGTGTCGCCACCCGAGCGGGGCGGTTGAACAGACAAAGAGGGTCCGTCCCGTGCAGCATCACAACTTTTTTTTGTTCTTTGTTTCTTGCTGAGTGGCTTCCCGCCGCAACGGTTGTGTCCTCAAGGGTGCTGTATATGTCAGGCTACCGCTGTGATGCACCTCAGGCTGCTGCTGTGCGGGCATGTCGGAGGTATACTTTCTCTTTGTCTGTTGGGGTTGGACGCCCGTACGTTTCCCTAACGTGCACAATCAATAATCGTTGCTCTCGTTCGTGAGCACGACGTAGCACGACGTATGCATATTGTTCGGAATGTGTACATTTTTTTTGTGTGTCTTCCACGGGTGTATTGTGTACTAGTTGCTTCGAGTTGAGCAGTGAGTATCCGAACCGCATGTCAACTGCCGCCGCGATCGCTGCCCCTGGTCTTGCTGCAGTACATGGTTTGGTGTACATCTCACGCTGCAGTACATGGTTAGGTGGTGTGCATCTACGCCGCTACAACAGGTCTCATCGAACGTTGACAAGTTGACAGGTTGTGCAACTGCCGGCCGGTCCCTTTTTTCACGTTGACAAGTTGACTTGATGTGCAACTACCCGTCCCTCCGTCCAGCCACTACCTGATGGCGCTTTCCATGTGACACAGACAGCAGCTAGTGAGGCCACCTCCACCACGGAGGAAGCGCGTACGCCTTCGCCCATAACTCTCCATTTTTGTCCCCTCTCCATCCTTCCCTTCCCGGCTCTTGTAATCATATCTCAAAGAAAAAATTATTCCGTAGTATGTTGTTGTTGTTGTTGTTGTCTTCACATTAAACCGTTTTTTTTTTTTTTTGTTTGTTTGTCTTCACATTAAACCGTATGTCAGTTGCTAAATGCCAAAATCTAGCAAAAGACTCTCAGCCCGTGGTCACGAAAGTGCTAGAGCCATCTGAGGATCTAAAGAACACGCACACATCTGACGAGAAAAAGGTATGCAAGAGCCCGAAGAGGTACACCTAAAAATCCCTGCAGCACCGTATGCGTGCCCAAAAACTGAACTGCACGTCCGTCCCACCGTTCGACTACAGTAGCATCACCCCCTCCCTGTCCCACTCTATACCAAAACGGAAGATTGCCGACTACAGCATAATGCTGTCTGAAGTGCTGTCTGTACAAAAACACCATGGTAGGCATGGAACAAGCAGCTGGCGGGGCACAAAGCTGCTGTCTGAAGTGCTGTCAGAATGTGTCTGCGGACGTATAGTGCAAAAAAAGAACAACAAACCAAAGCCATCATCGCAGCAATTGACAATCATCACCCGAATCTCTCCCGATCGTCTGTGTTAGGCACTGCAGTGAAA